CTTTTTTTGTTTGTTTTTGTTTAAAGTATTTTATGTACCACTTGTCTGCATTTTTTTTCATTTTTCTTGACTCTATTCATAAACTTACCACAGTGATGTTTTAATTCTTTGGGTAGATGAGGATGATTTCAGTGCAGCTTATGCTGCTTTTCTAATTGTTGTAGATGGAAGCATTATGATTATTTTTATTTAGTAAAGAGCTTTCTAGCTTCTAACGATTCCCTGTATTTAGTTTGCCCATCTAATTACTATCTGAATGCTGTTTGCTTACACAGCTTTTAAAATATACTGGTCACCTCAGTAGTGTGTTCTGCAATGATTTTCAAAGGCTTTTTTAAGTACTTTGCTTTATAAATGGAAAAAAATATATCCAATGATATTGCAAAGAGGGAAAGAGTATAGCAATATGAACTTTAGGATAACAGATTTAATGAAAAAGTCCATGGTAGGAATGAGAAGCACAGAAAGAGATTTGTCAACTCCCTGGCCTCTATTGTGGCTCTACTGTTCAACTATTAGTGAGTCATACAGCAGACCAAAAAACGTTTAGGGGTGGACCTAAGAATAACTTTGGTATACGTATAAACAATATATCCAGTTGTTTTTCATTTACTATTAATGTTATACAGGAACCTGTTACTTATTTGTAGGCTACTGTAGTAGTTTACTGAACTCCATAAATCAAAACACGGATGTTGTTATAATTTTTCACAGCGGTGCTTGATCAAAGACAGTTTGAAGAACAGAATAGAGAAGCTGAGAAAAACATAGAAGAAGAAAGGAAAGCAAGAGAAGAAAGGAGAGAGCAAGAACAACAGGAAGCTTTGGAAAGTGAGCAAAAAGAAGTGGAAAAGCTTAACAAAGAGGTAATGATTTAGTACCGTAATTTCTGCCAGTAATGCAGCTTTGCAGTGCCATGTATTTTAGGATTGCTGTGTTCCTTGGTTAAAAATAGATTTTATTCTTTAAGTGAAAGTAGTAGAGATTAAGTTCTTTTATGTACTTGAGCGATTAACCAAGGGTTCCTGCTAGAATTTCCCCATATGCCAAGTAACTCTTACACTGGAAACAGATGCTTTTTCTTCTATGCTTTGTGTGACTGGAAGCTACAGCTTTATGACCAGAACTTAGAAGGCAGCTGTCATCAGGCTATCAGAAGAAGCTATATGTCCAATGACTTTCTGGTCTGGACCACTGCTGGTGGGATACCACCAGAACATGTTATTAGCCTGTATCAGAATATCTCGGGTACCTTCTTGGAAGTAAAAGTTACAGGGAGGGCCACCTTAAGGAGTTTGCTTAAATACCTTTGAGCTGATGTGGTACTTGTTGAAGGTAGTGTTCTGGACTTCTAGGACCTGTATAAAACTGGCTTTTTGCTCCCTCCCATTTCATCTTCCTCTTCCCACCCTTGAACCCTGGCTAATTTGCTTCAGTGTAGTGGTGCTGATGAGACACGCTCATGCTACCCCTTTGCACCAGAAGACTAGGCCCGTCAAGAAACTTGCATACCTGGGCCAGCTCATCCTTTTTGGTTCACACATAGATGTCATATGCCTTGCAGCACCTCAGACATCCCAACAGGCTTAGAGTGGGATTTTCTTGAATGTCACTTTTTGAACTGAAGCAATAGCTTAACATTTCATCTTGAACTGCATGTAACAAATGTAATGCTGTTTACACTGGCATGTCTTAGGGAGGTTAAGATACAATCCTGCATGTAGTGCAGGTGTTTAGGTATAAAAGGTATTTTTCTTGAGCTGATGGGCATTTTTGATTTTGTGTCTTAAAGTGGATCCAAGACTCAATGAAAGTAAATGAAGAAAAAGAAGATAAGGAGGGAGGGAAATCTGAACGCAGCAGCTCTGGTGCTGAAGATGACGTAAAGGATCCTACTCCAAATCCATTAGAAAAATATATGAGAATAATTCAGCAGAGAAGAGAGCAGGACCTGGCAAACAAGGTGAGTATTCTCAAACTCTGGTCCAAAAATATTGTTGGCTGAATTTATGTCTTGCTAAAATATGCTTAGAATGAAAACAGTATTCTCATTCTTTCATTTTTTTCTTCATTCAGAAGCTTTATGTAACAACCTGCAGAGATGAGCGTTTGGATTTGTATTGCAGAAATATGTTTATTGAAAAGAAAAAAATTGAAAACTTTCTTACAATAAGGGGTTTGGGTTTTTTCCTGGTATGCTGGGGAGGGGGGACTTATTAGTTTGTTTTTAGGTACTAGGACAGTATTTAAATTTAAATGTCCTCAACTTTCAGTTTAAAATGTGTTTAAATACAGGTCTGTTTGTGTTCCGCTAACACAACTGATAGAATTTTTTCTGGCAAAATGGAAAATTTTACCTTAAAGAACAGGTATATGCATGGGTGACCATTACTATGATGAAGAACTGCAAAATATTTTTGTTCTGACATTATCCAAACCCGATTTTCCAAAGCATTGTTATTCTAGATGCAATTCAGCATTTATAGAAATAGTAGTTTTATTTTCAATTAGGTGCCAAGGTGCAGGTGCTACTATTGAGTCACTTAAACTTTAAGAACTAGTTACAGAAAGTGTATTTTCCTGTTGGCTGCAGGATTCAAAGAAAGAAGAAACAGAAGCATCGCTTACGGAGGGACTTTTGTCTAGTGAAAAGGATGACAGGTAAGGCTCATGTATTACTATTAATCACTTCTATTACCTCATATTAATAAGGTTGCAGTTAAGGGACATCTGTCTTCTTAGAAAGCAAGATAAATATAAACAAACTAGTCATCAAAAGCAAATGTGTGCAGAATCCTTCCAATTCTTAGACAGGAGAGTTACACACTTCATGGCATTCAGCTCCGGGATCTCCATTCAATGAGCACTTTCAGTTGCTGTGGCAATTAAAACCTTTTCTCAGCCGCTGAGCAGCACCTCGGTTCCTTCACTGTAAGCTGAGGTGTGAGGGAATCTTCTTGGGTGGTGGCCCTGTGTGGGTTTCTCTGTGCTGCACCTTGCAGATGGTCTGTTATTAGCATTGAATCTAGCTTTGATTTATCAGTAGCATTGTGGACTTCTAACCAACTAGATCACACACTTTTTTTAAGAGATTTTTTTTTAGCTGCCTGAATTGAGTTACCCCAGCAGAGCATTTCCTCTGGGTCTCTCTAGACATTGATAAATAAGGATACGTAGTTTGCTTTATAGGGAAAGAAAAAAACCAAACCCAACCCCACATCTATCGAATCTTTCAGTTTATTTGAAGATGTAGACTTGAAGATATATATTTAAGCAAAAATGTAGAATGGCTAAAAACAAATTGAATGCTCACACTAACCATAGTAATGCTTCAGTATTATCTGTGACTTCAAAGTGCTGCTTTATGTACCAGACCTTATCCTGGCTTTCCTGAATTGGTATCTCTCTAGTGTTCTTTTCACTGGGTAAGCACTACAGAAGCAGTGGAAGCAAAAAGTACTACTTTTGGATAGATTTGAGATGGATTTCTGTTCCTGTAGGCCCAAATCCTTGCCCTTAAAGGCTTGCTTATTTCCTTCAGCAAGAGGAATTGCAGCATAGGCAGTCTTCTAACTTTCTTTTTAAAACAAGTATTTATATTTAAGGTAAGAAACTGCTTTGGACTCATACCACTTTCTTTCCCTCCCTCCTGTCCTTAATACAGCGCTGCAGGCATTTCTCATGGAGACACGGATGAAAACTTCTGGTGAACAACAGCTACTGATGATGATTATTATAACTTTTATACTAAAAATATTTTTAAAGCAGCTTTCTGCCTGTAAAAAATTGTAATAAATGTTAGGCACCAAGGCTGCAGGCTGTGTAATTATAAATTAATAAAGCTGATTTTGAGCTGTCTCGTCACTTCAATCATTGACTACAAATAGTGAGCCCCGATGTGTTATTAACCCAGGAGGAGGCCCTTGAGTGGGGTGAGAGAAAGGACAAAGCCTTGTTGAGAAAAATGAATCAGGTAGGTTGGCTTTGGCCCTGAATTCCTACAAAATGTGACAGCTTTTCAAGGGGTGTCCCCTCCTCCCTCCCAACCCCTTCCCTTCCAACTGTTAGGGAGTGTAGGTCACAGTAGCAGTGTGCAGGTAACACAAAACTCAATGCTTATTACACATTTTTAAAGGTGTCCCCTGGAGCCCCTTGGCTTGTGACAGCCCCAAGCAGATGTGCCCCTTTTAGTGCTACGCAGGGGAAATAAATAACTGCTTTTAAAAGCAGCCTTATCTCCTGTATCACCTTGTTGGTGTTAACCAGCCCAGAACGGAGAGATTCAAATAAAAATGCTATTGAACTCATCTTTATTTAAGCTTTGTATTTTGTAGGTAGATTATAGGCAAGATCATTAAACTTTATTTACAGTATAAAATACAGTATTTTTTTTTTAAATCAATGAAGTAATTTAGGTTGGCAGCATATATTACAACTTGCACTGCATTTGAGGCTGCTCATCTTGAGCTAACTACATGAACGTGAAGCCAAGTTTGACAGAATTTAAGGGCAAAAAAAAAAAAAAAAAAAAAAAAAAAAAAAAAAAAAAAAAAAAAAAAAAAAAAAAAAAAAAAAAAGCAGCAAAGCTCTTGTCTTGTGAATTCATCGGCTGTTGAAACACGGCGTACCAAAAACGTGATGGAAACAAACTTTGCTTTTAGAAATTAAGATAAGTGATTGGGTGGCTAGTCTAATTGTACCACGCTGCTTAATTTGATGTTGCAGCAACGTCGGCATCGATGATTAAGATTTCGGCGAGGCTCGTGGTGTGGCAAAAGGGATGGATAGTGCTCGTTGCATTACGCTGGCCTGGAACTACTGCTGCTACGTCCTCATGCTCGGAACCACGCACCGACTTCCCGAGGGCATCCCTTCCTCCCCCAGGAAGGAGCAGGTACTACTGAACTAAACGTGTTTATTTTATAGAGACATAAAAGCCTAGAGATGCACTAGTAGGGAGTAGCTGTGGGTCTGGTTTTCAAATAAGCGTACAACAAGTGTTTTGTCTATTATCTACAAATATTTATTTTAACACTTGGATGTAACTACAGGAAGCCCTTGGCACTGATAGAAAATATTGATTCACTGTTAGGTTACAAAAATTTATACATAGCAAAATTTAATGCTCTTTACATAAAAATATTAGACTACTTAAACAAAACTTCAAAAACTCCCAGTAATAGCTACACTGAATTAGAAAAGAATTAGGCTTTAAGACACTGCCTCCATTATTACCCTTATGCAAACACTGGGCTAGAACATCACCTGCATTGCCGTAGAAATGTCTCCTTCATGCAACAGGTAAGAACATACACTAGGCTATTTTGTCATAGTTGCTCTACATGGATCAACTTTTTGCCCCTTTTTTGAAACTGTCAAATTAGACTTCAATATTTAACAAAAAAAATGACGTTTGAAGTTAATACCCCCCCCAAATGCCTTTTCTCTTAATACTGACTTGAAGAAATTTGTGCTTCCTTTGATTTATATTCAGCAAACAGTCAAAACTATCAAACCACACGTCAGCTTAACATGGGCATGACTTGAATATTTAATTTTTTTCAAATGACTAATGTATTTTACTTTTTCCCCCCAACATTTATATATATATATCATATAGAACAAACACCAAATATACCATCACTAATACTCAAGATATCACTGAATGCTTCTGAAAAAAAACATTAATTAGAAGGCAGACTTCTATGGGAAATGACTTTAAAATGGCACCAGTTTGTTTTTGTTTTTTTTTTTCTGAACACCACATTTTCTTAATGTGCTAATTAATTTGTAAAAAGGAAAACACATAAGCACTGACTATAAATTTGCTAAGCACCAAGATAGAGAAAGGTGGACATCCTGTATTCTTGTTTTATGGCTGTAATTTTTATTGTTTGTGTAAAACTCTGCAAACTTTCTCATCCGCTCATTTGGAATAGTCAGATCAGTGTCATTTTAATAAGGTAACACTTTTCACTTCCTTAAAATGTAGGATAATGGTCTCCCGCCACTATATAAATGCTAAGACATTTATAGAAAATAAATATTAAGGCAAAGCTGACATTTATTTTCCAAGAAGGGGATCATTATCCAGATCCGGGGATCTACATTCCGTTAAATAGTTACTAAAAAGATTAAAACTTGGGACAATCTGCTCAACACGCACGTAAGCACAGGAGCAGGAGGGCTCCAGCATAAAAAAACAAGAGCGTGGCACAGAAGTAGAGCGCTGTTCCTGTGGCCCAGGGCACCAGGGGTCAAAGACAGCCCTGCTGCAACCTAGGAATGTCAGAAAGGGCAGCAGGAAAGGGCCACGGTTTCGTGTGGTGGATAAAAACCAAGAGACTAAATCACCCACCGCGAGACGTGCCTTGGCCCTAAGGTCTGTACAGAGATCTACTGCCTGCTGGTTTGGAGCACCTGCCACGGTTTTTGTGCAGGACATGGTCATGCTGTGGAACGTGTCAAATATTAAATACCCAAAAAAGTCTCGAAGAAGAATAATTTGGTCACTTGTTGTGAAGTGTTGCCTTTTAAAATGCCTGGAAGAAAACCCTCCATTCTCTGTATGAAAGGATGGAAGATTACCCATGGGAAGATTTCCCTATGAATGTGTTCCAGGAGCTGGAATGTGAAGCTTTTGCACTTCTCTCTAATTTTGTTTGGTAGACACACATCTGTACTGCAGAGCAGCTAGTTGTTGATTTGTCAGAGCTACAGAATTCTTCTGCTGAATTACTGTGGCAAACATTTATGTGTAAGAATTGAGTTGCTCTTTTGACCGAGACTGGATATCCTGAAGCTCCTGCTCTTCTTTTGCTTTGATATCTTGGTAGGCCTGCATTTTGCTTGCATCCTTTAAGTAGGCCCAGTTAGAAGACAGTATCATGAGGAAGTGGATCTGGAAGAGAAGGGTGAGCATGATGGCTAGTGAGCATGTCAAGAGGCAAAGCAAGCTGCTAGTTAGATTAATAGACGCTCTTTAAAATAACGAACCAACAAAAACAACAACAAAAGTTACTCTACGTTAATAAGCATTCTGTTATTAAAACAAGCACAGAGGCTATTTTCAAAGATCTCTAGAACTCGGCATGCTAATATTTCAGTTGGTTATTCACAATGTAGAGGAAGTTAGTATCACAGTAATAAAACGAGCTACAGAGTCGTACGGATCAATTAAAATGCAGAATGGGGGGGGGAAGCAGGGAAAAAGGTTTGTACGTGGCGATATCTGTAATCTGTAAACTAGGAGGTGCTCAGGAGAACTGCTTCCTAAGGTTGTGGTGGTTACGCAGATCCAAGCCCAGATCCTGGGAAGTCTTTTCCCCCAACAAGCAGATGAGAATTCCACCCTCCCCCTGGAAAAAGCCTGAAACTGTAAACTGTTTTATTTACGTGAACAAGGCTGCATTAACATATTGAAAAATCAAACAACAAAACATGAGTCCAAAACTAAGCAAAAGCATGCAATCTCTGGGTTAAGAAGTCTTAATCGTATATTTTTATAACTACATTTTAAACTTCCATTGTCCAACCTCAAGTGAAGAGTTTTATATCTTACGTAGCAACTGGTTCTTTTTTTAATTATTATTATTATTATTATTGTGTGGATTTTTTTCTAGCTTGTGCATTCACCACTTCCCAACTTCTTTTCACCATACTTCATGCAAAAAATCTACATCCAAAAAACACTGATTCACTTCTCTTTTTTTTTTTTTTTTTTAATCATCCCAACAGTGTAAAGAGGTCTCTATGACCTATGCATGGTTTTGCTTCCCGTGCAGTCATACTTACAGTTTTGAGATCTGGCTACTGAGAAATCAGTTACTAAAGTGCAAGCCATACAAGAACAGAAGCTATTTATACGCGGTTTCTTACAAGTTCAGGGTCCAAAAGAAAGAATGTGATTGTTTTACGCAGAGCTAATACAAGGATGTATTTCCTTCCAGAGAGCGAGCGTGATTTGGCAATTACTTAAAAATGAAGTAAAAGAAAATAATCAGCTTTATCATCCGTGCACTGGAAATACAAGCCAACTATTTCATAATACCTGGGCTTCTGATTCCTGCCAAAAGAGACTGGCACTGCTTTACCGTTCCTTTTCTTTTGTATCATATATATTTTGTACACTCAGGGGGGCTGTATTTGGTGTTCAGGAGAAGAATAAATTAATAATTCTGACCCTGAACCGTTCCAGTATTTGTTTCAGAGATGACTGCTAGAAAGCAAGTGGGGACTTGAAATGGCAACATCCCATCTTCGGAGGGATGATTTATAAACACCCCTACAGTAACTGAATCCTCTCGACATGAAAAAATAGCCAGATCTCATCCACATCATAGTTCATATACAAGAAGTCATTTTATTAATCTGATAAGCTAAATGATGCTTACTGAAGCTATTTACAATTACTGTAACAAAATTCAGAAAGCTAGACTCTTAGCCTAGGGTGTCAGTGGTATTTCAAGCTACGCAATGCAGCTCTTTACTGGGCTTATACAATTTAGAATTTAGTGCAGCAATCTTCCCGACTCTTAAACTTCAAAACAGCATAGTTATATGTGGTAGCCATCATGTAGATCAGCTGGTGGAAGAGAACAAAATACAGGAGAGTAAGATACAACAAGGTGACGGCTCAAGCCCACAAAATGGGCAACTGTCCACACGTTTACAACAGACGTTATTCTGAGCTTCTTCCAGGGTGAAGATGCAAGATAAATAACTTTATCCGGAGAGGATAATCTACACCAGTATTACACCTGGCTTTGGCTGACATCAGGTTAGAAGCTGGCAGCTAGAGGAAACCTTAAGCTTCCTTACGAAGCAAGGCATCTTGGTAATGTTCCTTTCTCCAACTGCTACCTGTAAGTGGCCTTGCAGAGCTGGACTAGTCAAACTGCCTGGGCCCAGACAAAAAAAAAAAACCACAAGAGGTTTACAAGCGGGTGAATAAACTACCAAAAATGAAAAGGTGGAAATAAAAAAAAGAAATAGTGGGTAGAAGCAGGATTTTCAAAGGGCATGCAAAGAATTTTTTTCTAAAGATGGGGGAGGTGGGTTAAGATGGCTTCTTAAAGCAAAAGTTTGGGACTTGCTGACTTTTAATGACCAAACCATAGCAGCAAATAATGGCAGTTACAGCTCGCCCTCCTTCATGTCTACTATCACTGTTTTTAAGGTACACAAAATGTAATCTTAAAGCATCTTAAGCCTGAAAGGAACACGTGACACAATAAAACAAGGAAAAAATGCTACCCACCAGTGCTATGACAGTGGCACCAGCTCCAGCGCAAGCCACAATGAACAGGTGGTAAGACATGTAGAACTAGAGAAAAAAACACGTGAAAAACATTGAAGCAGTTGAGCATAGTATAAAATACATTTCAACTGTTCTAGAAAGTAAGGATAATAAAAACATCTTTGTTGCAAGGTATTCAAAGCTTTACAAAATAAATATGCTCTGAAATAACTGTCATTTTCTAGATGACCTAACACAGAATAATTTCAGCGTTGTGTTTAAATCAGTCTCTTTATACTATTAGTACTAGTTTTCTCCAAAAACTTTCACCAAGTTATTTATTAAATGGTGCCCAAGAGACCGGGAGGCAAAAGCCGCACACGGGCGATGTGTCTGTACCTCATTCGTGTTGCAGATGTTCTCTAAAATCGGGCCACAGGCTTTGCCAGGTACAGCATTCCAAGGGATAATACCTGAAATAACACCACAGCAAAAGAAACCACTGATTTTAGCAACCAACACATGCTTTCTGTTCCTCTCTCAGCTTTTCCACCCACTTGCCAGTTGTGTTCCCATTCTGGGCATCGGCGCGTTGACCAGTGCAGCTTTGGAGTTGGCAGGAGGAATGATCACAACTCACTCAAGTTGTGCTGTCTCCCTACACGGCGGCTCCCTGCCAAGGCATGTTCTCAGATGTGGTTTTTCCATCTGGCAGCCAAATGGTTGGTTGGGTTTTTGCACTTCAGGTCCAGTCACACGCTGCCTACTCCCCCACTCAGCACTGGCAGGGATAATCTGCTGCTCAGAGGTACTTGGCACCTCACTTACCAGATTAAGTTCTACTTGAACAAGTAACGACTGGAGAAGAGTGGGAATATGGAGGTAGAGGGAAGAATAACAGGATTTTTTTCTGTTTTAGTTCCAACAGGTAAAAAGCATTAAGTGAACACTGCTCATGTACTCCCAATTTCTTTTCTTACATGACTGAAAATCTGAAAAGTCAACGGGATCTAGCAGACTTAAAATAACCTAAATTTTTAGGCCTGTAGCAGATGTAAAGCTTAAGCAAAAGCCATTTGAAACAGGAGAAAACCAGTTTGCCTCCCCCATATAACTTGCATTTCAAACTCAGCTGGTTGGAATTAGCAACTCTGTCAGGGGCAGGTCATTGAAATTATCTCAGGATGGAATGGCTTTCAAAAAGATTTTACAGGATTTACTTCAAAGCCAGCTGCTCCTCTGCGACTGCAATATACACTTGAAGCCTTTTAGCCACCGCTTCCATCCAAAACCAGGAGGACAATTCAGTGACACAAGTTAAGGAGCTGCTCCCTCCCATCACTCATTGAAACCCAAATGATGTTACTGATGAGAGGAACAGCAACGGCCCCACGTGGGGCTTGCACAGCTGTGAAACAACCAGGAGAAGCAAGAAAGGCTGAGGAGCACATCTCTCTGCACCCCGAGCCCTTGCTGCTGAAGAAAAGTGTCTTCCAGGCCTCTTGCTGTCAGTTGCTAAAATAAGATGCAAGCATTTAGCTGATTTGGGACTTCTCGCTTTTAAAATTAGTCTATCTTATCTTCTCCTACTGGACTTACAGCCTGGACAGGAAAGCAAATCCAAGCTTTCTGCCTTTTTCAGCTCTGAATCTGTTTTCTCAGCTTTGAATGACTTAGTCCAAAGAAAGAAACGTTCCTAGAAAATATTAGCTCAAAGGAAGCCAGGAGGAACGGTGACAAAAGCTCTTCTGCACAAGGGAAGCTGAAAAGATTAACTTCAGGAAAAAATCACCTTAAGGAATAAACTACTTGAAAAGCTTGACCCTATTTTAAGCTATTGTCCCCACTCCTGTCCCACCTGCACCCCCCTCGGGTTTCTGTGTCATCAGAAAGCAGTATTAATTCATTAACAGCTAAGGCAGACTCTTGATTGCAGGTGTTTGGTCTTTTAACTGAAAGTAATTGTTAGACCAAACTTCAGGTGTAAAATGTAAAAACAGCTTTTTTGAAAGGAAATAATATCTGCATACGGGTTCAAAGCCCAGAATCTGGTTATCTATTTCACAGCACTGCTTCTAAGCAGTTTATTTTGAGGCTGATCTATTTTTAAACTTAATATTATAGTATTGGAAACTGCTACAAAATCATTTTAGATAAATGACTTGCCAGTTCAGTTCAATTGATTGCATCTGGAAAGAGATCGCTGTAATCTGAATTAATTAGAAAAGTAATAGCATATTCAGAGATACAAGATGCTTTTGCATTTGGTTCCTTTGATAAGGCTGAGACAACACTACTGAAGACAGACCAAGGAGAAAGGATAAAGCATTTAATCAGGATTAAAATAAGTACCGTATTGCCTGATATCCACGCAGATCTGGTCCCCTGGAACTGTCACATTTGTCTGAAGAGATTTGATGACTTCGCAAGTTGACCATATGTTATAGAACATAAAGACAGGCACAGCAGAGAAGCCAAAGACCCCGAGCCAGGCCACTCCAAGCACATAGGTGAGGAAAACAAACTGGACAGAGAAAACACACGTACTTCACCTTTATTCTTTGAACAGAATACTTGCATTTTCCTTCAAAAGGCTTCAAAATAACCTTTAAGCATACTTTCAAGAAGTCAAGTATTAAAACATTTGATTTCCAAGCACAAATAAAATCAGTATTCTCGTTGCTTACAAATACTTTGGTAGTTTAAGTGCTACTGAGAAAGTAATTCAGACAATTCCTTTTTCATCAGCCTGCTTGAGTAAACAGCTTGACCTCCTGAAAGAACAGTCCATTAATTTATCAAGATTCTCAGCTAAGCAGGGATGCTGGTTGTAGGCTAAAACCAATAAAATTCCAACAAAAATCAATGTAAGGAGGTTTTTTTTTGTAATTAACTGTAACATACTAGCATTGCTATACAACTTGCAAATCAAAACAATATAGTGAATTGATGTTCACAGAACTCTCCCGTAGTCCCTGATTTATTGAAATCCATTTTGAATGTAACATTTGAGAACAGCTGGTTTTGAAAACATACCGTGACCGTTACAGCGGATCGGGAAGATTCAATTGATCTAATACACATAGCCAAGAAGAAAATTAGTTACTTCACCTTGGAGACTTATGGATTTCCTATTTACATTTGCTGGTTTGGGTTTGCGCTTTTAAAAAAAAATATTATTATGTGCATTTTCTTTGGTAAGATTGTAAGGTATGGCACTCATTGCTTTGGAAATCTCCACTTTCCCCCTCCTACTGGACATCTTCCCTTTTCCTTCTCTTTTCCAAGTTTGATGGTGAAACAGCAGCTCTGGCATCTGTTCCTAGCTCCTTCCTCCTGGTGAGAATTTGGATCCTACTTGAAAAGCGGGGGAACGCTGCTCCATCTTTTGTATTCCCTTTTTACTGTTATTTAACTGTAGGTGGACTGGAAAGGCTTTACTTCCAGTAAAGCACTGATCTTACTTGAACCTGCTGTGACAGAGAACAGCAGCAAATGTGGGAAGGGCTCTGGGGGGAGAGGTTGTCTCTGCCTGACCCAGAAGTGATAGACTGAACTAGTGCTGCAGGGGTGGGACTTTACATCCTTATAGTTTGTTGTTTTTTTTTTTTTTCCAAACCCGCTGACCAACACTTAGAATCACAGAACAGTTAGAGTTGGAAGGGACCTTAAAGATCATCGAGTTCCAACCCCCCTGCCATGGGCAGGGACATCTCCCACTAGAGCAGGTTGCTCAAAGTCCCATCCAGCCTGGTCTTGAACACTTCCAGGGATGGGGCATCCACAACTTCTCACTTCAAACACTACAGCAAAGGCTGAGCGATTGGTTAGGATTTACAGTCAACAAAGGCGGTGTATATGGGGAGGCTTGCAAAACCAAGGCCCCCAAAACCCCCATCTAGCCTTTAATTTACACACAACTGAACTGAAATGCCCTATTCCATATCAGATAGTGCCATACACCAGACCTGTATGTTTTATGCAAGGATTGAGCATTCTCTCTTTGGATTTTGGTAAGGACCAAGTGGATCAGTTTAAAGGATTTCTACAGATACACTATACATAACTATGGGTTTGCATACGTGTGGAACTGTGCATGAGAGGAAGTGCACAAAGCCTTTAACTCCTAAAATAGCCAGGAAAAAACATGCTAACTCTCACATTTAATGTGATAACTGTGGGAAATGGCCATTCTGCATTACCACAGCCAACATAAATAACTTGGGAAAGCTGGAAGTCTTTCTTCTGCAATAACCTTATGCAAGATAGACAGGGACTGCCTCTCAGGAGACCTTGCTTGGTAATGTAATGGAGAAAGAAGCAGAGGACCTACTAGAGGAGTAGTAGTGGATCTACTACTGGTAGTAGTAGTAGCTAGTAGAGGATCAAAGAGGCAAAAAAAATAATAATCACTGTATATCCAAAACTTTGTTGTCTGTACCCAGCTGCAGCCACTAATCTGTTAAGACACTGTATCTCCTCACAAGCCTTGTCCTAACCCTGGTGTTTGATGCAGCTCTACCACCACACAGCAACTTACAGGCGTTTTGACACCGTGACTATCACCATGAAACACTGCTGTGTCTTACCAGAGCTCCAAGCTGTTACTCAGCTGCTAAATTCTCTCCTTTGTTGTGTGGACAAATATGGGCAAATGTGAAAACACATTTTTCTGTCATATTTCCCTGTGTCACCCTGGTATTTCTATAAGCAGCTGACAATCATGTGCCTGCAACAACTCAACTGCACAAGCAATTGTCCGCTCTAATGAGATGCACATATGGGGCTGTTTCTACTGCATTTTGGATCTTTGGAAAATGTGGCTTTAGATCTAATTTTGCTCCTCGGTGAAGATCATGCTTGCTAGAAAGAGAGCAAGCGAATAGCTGCTTAACTGGAAAGTGATCGGACGTCTGCCACTAGCTCTTGAAAAATTCAGTAAGTATCCAACAGCACAGTGGAAAATTGTTAACCCTCTTGAAAATAAACACGCATCTCTCTTGTATTTAACCAGCTGAAAGTACATATTTTTTAAAGTACAGGATATAGATTGTATATTAAAATGCAACAATCACATCAAAAGCCTCTTCTCTTTTCACCCACTCTTTCCCGTGGGCGATCTGTCACACTGCTTTAGCTTCCTCCAGAACTACGAGCTTTGAATTCGGAATTTCAGAAATAGCTTTGAAATCCTGTCTCAGAAACACAGTTCGGTTTCTGTTCTTGCGGAGTGCGCCCTGGGGGGCAACGTGGGTGAGAATCTGAAGTTTTATTTTTAGTTAAACTTTGTTTCAAATTGCATTCTGATACAGAAGGGTACCAAAGGGAAGATGCCTTGTAACTTTGAGGCTTTAAGTGTTTCAGCTTTGGGAAAAAGACTCGCTCTTGTATCTGTTATGCCTCTTGCCATCTGCAAAAGCAAGACAGCAATGCTCGATTCAAGACGCTGCAAAGCTGCATTCATTCCTGTCTGTCTGAAGGATCCAGACATCCTCCAGCAGAATTGACTATGGAAAGTCAGAGGCATTACAGTTTGTTATTTAAATAGCTCTGCAAACTGCAGCCATTTTGCAGCCTGCCTTTAATCATCACGAGCGTGCTGATGTTTAATAGCGCAAATTTCATTTTGTCTCGCATTGAGTGTTTTAAAATCAGCAGTCTCCATCAACTTAGTGTAGACCAGGGGGTTCAGCTTTATGACAGGAGAGGCCGTGGCAGCACCCTGACAGTTTCTCTGCACCATTTGGATCTGACCAAGCATCCTCGAAGTTCAAAGAAGGACCCGCAACGAGGATTGACCCTGACCACCCATAAGGGGTTAAAGAAAGGCAGCAGCACTACACTGTTGTGCAAAAACACAGGAGTCAACCCGGGCCCAGCAGGTTTTAGCCAGCCAAGGCCACTCTTCCCATTTCTGATGCTACTCACCATTCCACTGATGCAGCGGCCACAGGCTGTGGTTTTGAACTCTCCATGCAGCTCCTTCACAGCACTCGTCGTATAAAAACCTTCCGCCAAAAGGATTATTCCATATAAGAAGAAAAACGATGCGATGCCATAGATTACATACTGCATTAGCTGTATTCTAAAACGGAAAAGAAAAAAAGATATAATTAGCTTTCAGTCCTATATAAACAAAGTCCCTTCTCCCAAATCGTACTAGGTATGAGATAATTCCTTTTCTAGAAACACAGTTCAAGGCTCCTTCATGCATTTTAAGCAAGCAGCCTGCAGGAGAGCACTGCTGCGACCGCCCCACTTCTGCAGGTCAGCGATACTGATGCACATCAGTCCTGCATCTGCTCCAGCACCCCCTGTTTGTGCTGCAGTTCTTACACAGCCTGCCATTAGTCACCAGCACAAAGCTGTAATTTCATGCTTCCACCATGGAGATATTTTTTTTCCTCCCCTATTATTGAGCCTGACAACTCAAGGAATGTCTGAGAGGGATAACACAGGGCTTTGAAATGGCAAAGGCTGGAGCTGAACTATTGGCTGAGCTGCCATGCTCTGTGGTGATTCCTTTGGCTTAGCAGAAGGAAGTTCTGCAGAATCAGTCCCCAAAATTCACCATTTGCACCTGTAAAATCCAGTTAATGTAAGTTTGCAAAAATCTGTAAATTCAGTGATACTTTTCTGATACAAAAAACTGAGCAAACGCACAGTGTCTTCTCCTGGGGAGGAATGGCTTGCTCTACAGCCTAGGAGGGTACTGCCAAGTGAGCAGGTGGCTTCAGTGCCTTAAGTCACAGCAGTGTTGAGCTCCCCAAAGTGTAATGACATTTTAAAAAAACAGAAGAAATATTTAGGAACTGCGTCCGTCTGAGGTACTCTGGGACCATCCAGAGGAAGCAGAGCTCAGGGCTCATGGTATAAGCACTTCTCTCAGAAGTGCTTATATTTGAGAATTAATATATTATTTGAGATATTTATTATTTGAGATATAATATTTGAGATTAATATATTATTTCAGAAACTTCTCGATTCCTTAAAAATATCCCATCTGCAATGACATTCATGGTATTTTTACTCTGCCTGAAATATGTAAATGGAAAGAATAATTTCTGAATATAATCAGATTGAGTATCTGAAGCTAATTGTTTTGGAGGACCAGAATGCCAGATCTTCCATACAGCACTACTTGCAGAAGTCATACTTCATTATTAGCATAACTTCTCCACAACTTATGCCTTCTTAAAAGTCATTTGATTGTTGGGATGGTTATTTTGGATGAAGGTGTTCACAGAACAGAGAGGTTAATTTTATACATCTGTACTGCCAGTTTTCTAAGAATAAATACATTTTTCCTCAGATGTTTTTTTTCAATTCTTACCACTCTCCGCTAAGTAGCTGCTCGCATAGATCTCCAAGGAGCACCTGCGTGGTTCAGCTTAATTTAAAGAAAATTGATGACTACCATTTACATAGTTAAATGTTGTCCAGAGAGATAGCACATCCCTTGTACCAAAATAGAATATTGCTCATTTAAAATTATATGTGGGAAGTGTTATGTTTGTTTTCCAAACCGATTAAAAATAACAGGATAAATCTGTTGCATCTGTGCTGTAAAGCATGAAAATATTAAGTCATGATTTGAGAGAGCATAGAAAAATTCATTACACCATCATTAAGAGTCAAAAAGGGACTCAATGCACATTACCAGAAATTAGTAATATGAGACCCTGTTAAAAAATATCTATTCCAAAGGGTGCCTTACTAGCCTATTTTTCATTTATTTTATGTTTACATGGTCTTAAATTATCTGCCCCCTTCTAGTACCTCTTCTCCCTTGCCTTTCCTGTTAGGCTTCCACCAAGCCCAAATCCTCAGGTGCTTTGGTAGGAATTATGCATTTCCCCACCTGCTGATGCTGACTTGACAAGAACCACTGTCAACAATTCTCCAAAATTTCAAACTCGCTGCCTGTTACAGCTGCTTTTGCAATTTCTTCAATTTCACTCAAAGACTGATGGAAGAACAGGACGTTTCGTGAGTCAGTTTCTGAATCATGAATGGTTTGGGTTGGAAGGGACCTTAAGGATCATCGAGTCCCAACCCCCCTGCCATGGGCAGGGACACCTCCCACTAGAGCAGGTTGCTCAAAGCCCCATCCAGCCTGGCCTTGAACACTTCCAGGGATGGGGCACCCACAGCTTCTCTGGGCAACCTGTTCCAGTGCCTCACCACCCTCACAGGAAAGAATTTCTTCCTAACATCTAATCTAAATCTCCTCTTCCAATTTAAAACCAATACCCATTGTCCTATTGGTACGCTCCCACATAAGAGGTGCCTGAAGAAGAGGTGCTAATGGTTTCTCCCTAAATGTTGTGGCTCACTGCAGGGTTCCTGTGGCTCAGGCACTGGAGCTGCAGATGGGGTACCCAGCCACAGCTGGTGGGGTGGGTGACCCCCTGTCCCAAAGCCATGTGGCACGTCTGGGCACAGAGGGTCCTGCAAAGGGAGGGGAGCCCCAAAATGGTGCTGTGGGACTGACCCCGGTGATCCCTGGGGATGGAAAGGGGTTGTGCATGAGAGCTGGCAGGTCCACGTCCACAAGCATATGGAGGGAGTCAGTGACAAAGGAAAAGAAAAGGGAAAAAAAGAAAGGAGAATTGTGTCGGGTTGGACCCTGATACCAAGGTCTTCAGTTAATGCCCTAAAAGCTGTGTCTTAGGGGCAGATAAGCCTCACACACCGTTGTGAATCATTAACTGGTGGAAAATTCCTTGCTGCCACCAGAGAAAAGCTTTTTCCAAGCCTGGGGGTTTCAGCTGGAAGGGTCTCATAAGGCCCCGCGTGTTCAGAGCACTGGCCAGAGCCTGGGGCCTGCATGTCCCTCAGTGTCGAGGGGAAGGAGAGGGTCAGGCCAGCGGGGATGGGTGCTGGGCACTGGCCCTGATGCAGCCTCCAGGACTTTCTCTGGGGTCATAAAGATGCCTCGGGAACACAAAAGCCCCACCTGTTTCACCAGTGGTTATTTCCAAAGGCTACAGTTGCAGAGACAAATATTTAAGCTCTTTCCAGTCTTTTCTCTTTTTTTCCCCCTCATTTGTGCAATCCCAGTTCCACCTTCTTCTAAGGGAGGATGTACAGAATGACACTTCCCCATTACTCCTGTCATCCCACTTTCTTCTAAGGGGGGATGTAGAGAATGACACTTCCCCATTACTCCTGTCATCCCTTCAAACTTTGTGTCACCAATAAACACTAAATCTACCCTCTTTCAGACTGAAATCATTACGCCTTGTTCTGTCACTACAGGCCCTGGTGAAAAGCATTTCTCCATCTTTCCTGTAGGCTCCTTTTAGGTACTAGGAAGCCACAGTAAGGTGTCCCCAGAGCCTTCTCTTCTCCAAGGAAGCCACGGTAAGATGTCCCCAGAGCCTTCTCCAGGCTGAACAACCCCAACTCTCTCAGCCTGTCCTTGTAGGAGAGGTGCTCCAGCCCTCTGATCAACTTCGTGGCTCTTCTCTGGACCTGCTCCAACAGATCCATGTCTTTATTGTGGTGGGAGCTCCAGAGCCAGATGCAGAACTCCAAGTGGGGTCTGAGCAGAGCAGGTTTCTTGTGGTGGGGGCTCCATAGCCGGATACAGAACTCCAAGTGGGGTCTGAGCAGAGCAGAGTAGAGGGGCAGAATCACCTCCCTCCACCTGCTGGCCACACTTCTTTTGATGCAGCCCATTATCCCATTGGCTCTCTGGGCTCCCAGTACACATTGCTGGCTCATGTTGAGCTTCTCATCCACCAACATCCCCAAGTCCTTCTCAGCAGGGCTGCTCTCAATCCCTTCATCCCCCAGCCTGTATTGATACTGCGCATTGCCCTGACCCTTGTTGAACCTCATGAGGTTTGCAGGGGCCGTTCCTCAGGCCTGTCAAGGTCCCTGTGGATGGCATCCCACACATTGCCCTGACCCTTGCTGAACCTCATGAGGTTTGCAGGGGCCATTCCTCAGGCCTGTCAAGGTCCCTGTGGGTGCATCCCATCCCTCAAGTGAACTAACTGCACCACTCAGTTGCCATCTGCAAACCTGCTGAGGGCACACTCAATCCCACTGCCTATGGCACTGATGAAGATATTAAATAGCATTGGTGCTAATATAAACAGGTTAAGCAGGATACACTGGTTGGTTGTGCTTGAGCACCAAAAAAAACCGCTGAGTGCTGTTGGACGAAGAAGCAACCTAATATGCAGGGATGAAGGCTGAGGTTTGAATCCATCTCTACGCAAATTTAGCATGAGGGTGTTGTTACGTGGAGTAATGGAAATGGGAGGCATACTTACACTTCACTCAGCAAAGCATGGTCACTGGCAGTCGTGGAGAAGTGCTGCTCGAGGATAGACACGGTCCCCGTGAGCGCCACGTGGCCGCAGCCACAAAACAACGCTACCCCCGAGAAGCAGAGAATGGTTGCCACGAGCGAAGCATATGGCACTCCTCCTAGGCACTTAATGCAACATTCAAAGCAACCTATGCAGAAGAGAAAAAAGCAAAAAAAAAAAAAAAAACATTATGAGCAAAAAGCAAATTATGAGAAAAAGAGTTATCCGTTCTTCATGAGGAAAAGAATATCTGTCCTCCACTTGGTAAAAGCCACAGGGACTAAAAGGCCCATGCATTGACATGCTAAGCAAAAAATCTATAGGTGGTGCAAGACAGCATCACCCTCTAAAGCAGTGACCTACAGATCTGTTGGTATGGACTGAAAGCCCAGAAAGTGGGCTGAGTGCTCCTATCTCTACAGGACCAAGAGGAGATCGATGAGACAGCCTATGAAATGGAAAAAGAAAAAAAAAATCACTTGTCTAAAGTGATCCATTGCAATTCAGCTTGCTCATGCAGAGCTCACCACATTTCAGCATTACCAACAGCAGGAGCACCAGCTTCCCTGGCTCCATTCAAGAAGCCAGAGGAGCAAATACTCAAGGCAATGAAGCCTTTTGGAAAAGTTAAGAGATACTTTGCACTTCTATTGGAAAAGGAACACGCTTAGGTCTGCAAAACTTAACTACCCTGCACTCTCCCATGGCTCCCAAATGTCTTTTTGTAGAAATCTGTGTGAGGTTACAGGGATACAGTTATGTTTAACAACAGAGAAGTTGAACGAGGGCCACAGAGTTGCAACTGTTGTTGGGAGCAGTGAGATGAAGCTGCATTACACAGACAATACATCTCCAGCTTTACAGGATACACTGGATTTACAGTGATCCCTGAATACAGTCTGCAGCAGCATAATCACAGTTTTAATGAAATGTATCGTTTAAGCAGTCTGAGTTAACAAAACACCACCACCACCACCCCCCGCCCAGAACTGCTGTTCTACAAACACTGTAATAAGGAGGTTGCAGCTGAATTGCCAGGTTCCTCCCGACCGCGTGGCCTGAAAACCCATCTGCTTGCAGAGCTGGGAAATGTAAATCGGAAACAAACACAGCTTTTAACTGTGCTGTAATGGTAATGGCAATCCATACCAATTCATTACTTTAGGGTGATGGCATTAAGCTGTCTCCATTAATGTGCATTTCATACAACTGTGCAAAACACAAGCCATTAAGACAACGCTTAATGGAGTGACCAGCATCGCACGTTGCAGGAACAGCCCGCTGCTTCTACAGGAACGGACTACGTGGACAAAGCATTGGAAGGCAGGGAAGCAGCTGGCGAGTACGTACATCACATCACATCATCTTCCCACCCCAAAAATTCCTCACAAAGATCAGCAAGTCTCCATCCGCCACACAAATAAAGCAAGTTTATTTTTATCCCCCTCCCTTTTCCACTAATGAATGAGCTGCAGAACAGGCACTTCCGCGAAGCACTGGGGAATAATGTGCATCTGATAATTGAAAGCCTTCTCGTTTCATAAGTGGGAAACTCTTCTTTTCAGAGAGTCACGAGCAAGTGTCCTAGTCGGGCTTAAGGAGCTATCACCACCGAAACGACTTATGAAAGGCCACTTTGCTAACTGCAGACAAGATTTAATTGTAGAGAAACAAGCCTGGGAAGCTTTTATAGTCAAGCCCACAGCTGGAGTCCACTCGGTAGGAACTATCTTCATGACAATAATCCTGCCCAATGAACAAACACCGCCGCTTAGCAGTGTCGGGGCAAACAGCACCCGAATGCGCGCCATCAGAGGAAATCACCTCTGGTTTTCATCTTATCACAGAGGTCCAGAGTCGAGTTCAGACACCAGACCTCGCAGAGCGACCCTCTCTGCTTTGGGGAGTCTGCCTGAGTGCGGCTCAGGAGCCGTGCGCCAGAGGCATCGGCAGCCGTACGCCCGCGGCTGGCTCGCCTCCGCAGCATCTGCTCCCGGGTCAGGCCCAAACCTCCAACCGTTCATCCCAGAAACGCCTGCACCTGGCACAGGATTAGCAGAGAAGGATTATCCAAGAGTAGGGACGCTCCGATCCAGCAGGCAACGCTCAACACGCACATGTGGCCTCAGAACGAATGGCCTTCGGGGCCACACTCCCACATGAGAAGGTGATTGCTCCATGTGGAGGAGGTTGATCACCTCAATCGTGCTGATCCACAGATTGCTTCGTGGAAGGATCCCGCCAGAGGTAGGAAATAAAACCAGCTGGAAGCAAAGCCAAGAGACCTATGAGGTCCAAAAAAAAAGGTGCTGGTTTTAAAAGCTGGGGGCAGCCTGCTTGACCAAACTCTAAAAAATGGTACTGACGTTTTTCAGATTGACAATTAACCTCCCACAAGTAGGTAGGTGTCCTCCTGGTACTCCACACTGCACAGCTGGCTTTCCAGGCCACGAACAGAACATTCACCCTGGAGAGTTTATTGGGTCCCTTACCCAAACACACGGCAATACCTGCCACTAATCCACGGGCCCTCCAACACAAGCTGAGAGTGGCAAACCCCCTCGCATCTCCCAGCCTCTGGCAGTGGCACGTAGCACTTTTGTGGCCATACTCTCATCTCTTCCTCTACAGCCCAAGTAAAAAGGTACCAGAGTATCCAGGCGGCCTTTGCTTTATCAGTGCAGACCACGGCCAAGGGATGCCCTAAGAGGTGTCTAAAGCAACCACACTATTTTGACAGAGGCAGAGAAAACTGCCCAGATGTGGAACTAGAGAAACTACTTGCCCTCACACCTAGACTAAAAGAGGAAGCAGAGGGACTTCAGTTCACTGGGAAACAGCGTGCTCCAAGCCCAGGGAGCAACCCAAACCAGCACGTTTCCAAGAGACAGCATTCATCCCTGTCATCCAGTAGTCCTTCTGCACCCAAACCGACAGCAGAGCTGCACAGCCTCCTGCCAGGGGGCAACTTGACTGTGGGATACAACCCCATCACGCTGCTGGGGCTGCCAGACCCCCCACAGATCCCACAGTGAACACTCTTTATGAGCAGCTTAAATCCATACCTAGCCTGAGCAATATAGCTGGGTTTGTAATTTTGCTATAAAGCAAGCTTAAAACATTACTGCCAGGAGCAGCTTTCAAAACCAGCTAAAATTGGAAGCTCATCAAGCACTAAGATACACTCACCAAGCTTCCCAAACAAGCACTGGAGCAAATCAGAGGATTTCTGGAAAAAAAATGAAGGGTTTCCAGGAAACATGCTTTATGTAACCCCAACTCAGCAAGTATCTTCATACAGTACAACTGAAAACCCACCATGATGTTTGCCTAGTTCATGGTCACAAAACAACTTGCCAACGCACTGCTGCTAACTGCAGGCTGAAGGCCTGGGAGCTCAAGCTGAAAAAAAAATAAGTAGCATTAAAATAAGTTTAGTTCCAATTTTCTGCTAGTTTTTACTTTCCATACGGCCAACGGGGCGAACTTTTCAGCTGTAGATCCACTTCCAACACAACGGCATAAAAGGATTTAAATATGAAACTGTACAGTGCAAACACACATCACTGCATCTCCCCTTTCAATGGCCATTTTGTGCAAGGCATCACTAGAACCTTTTGTGCAACTCAGCAGAATAAAAACATTTTTTGTCCTCAGGCTGGCGAGCAGCAGTTGCCATGGAGGCAGGTTAATAACAGCCCAATGATTTGCCCAGAGCTGCCTGTGATCTTGGCTACAGATTTAACACACTCTCAGAAGGAGGCCAGCTAAAACAAGGACTGAGATTATTCTCTAGGGAATGAATGCTATTAAACACACACATACACACACAAATATTCTTGCTGGAGGACAAAAATAAAGAGAAGAGAAAAAACAGGAACCGGCTATTCTTTTAATCTCCTGGAAACTATCAGTCACAGGAAATTGGTAAAGGATGAACCTACATATGTACACAAATCGGCAATTGGTTGCTTAATGTATGAAGAACAATTATACAATCTACCCAGCAGTGTACGGGCTATTGCATACATGCAGGGGCTTAGCCATTCAATTTCCCATGTCAAGCGGCAATTGTGTGGCTAAACCTTCTTTGGTACTTTAAGTATGGCTTTAGGATTGAAACTCAGAAAAGCAAGGTAATGCAGAATTAATGGAAAGAGGTCTTAAAAAAAAAAAAGCAAAGCAATTCCCAGACTCTAACTCATCCTACTGAGGTCAAGATAGAGTGGAACGACAAAATCTGTGCTCTGGAAATGACAAAAGACAACGCAATGGGATCAGGCAGCTGTCTTGAGTATTCCCAGGGCTTGCTCTAGGAAGTTCACACACCAGCTCCTGGAGTCCAGACTTGAAAAGCTCAGACAGACACACGTTCACAAAGTCATCTCTCAAAGCAAAGCGTGGAAAACATGTTGAAAGGGAAGAGTGTCCACACCTCCTGGACAGAAAACCAGCCTGTCCTCTAATGTCCCAAACTCCTCCTAGGTTGAACAAGTGCCTCAATGTATCTCATGTATGAACCATTAATCCCATAGTCAAAGTCACTATGGAACAAAAACCCAAGCAACAAAGAAAACCTGGAAGGTTAGAAAAGCTCTCCATTTCAGGGAGCTAAACCTCCCGTGGCTGTTTTCTGAGTTACTTCTCAGTCTCTCTTCTTTAGAAGTTTCATTTCTTCTCCTCCCAAAAATTTGTCTTGCTGTTCTGAAAGATGAAGCAATGGGCACTGATTTTTCTCATCCCTTACTTCCTGTAATTGTGTAATGTGTTTTTAGAAATCCTGGCATGTTGGACACCTGTCCAGTTACTACCTGGTAGAAATGACACTGCATATGCTGCCACAGGAACACAATCTCTATTGGCATCAGCACCACAGCTCAGGGAGCACACGTGGAGGAACTGTTTAATGAAGAAGAAGGTTGCAAAAGACCCAAGGAAAGAAAAAGCATCTTAACATCTTAAATGAAAGCACCAGATAGTATCTTAAATGCAGCCATTGCATGTAAATCAGGCATGTTATTACACATCTATGGGAGCCAGCTGTTGGGGGCATTACTTCCAATTCACAAATAAATGTAAGAGGAGAACTCAATACTTTACACTCACCTCAGTTCCCCAGTGCTGAAGATTACCCAATACCAAGTGTAC